ACTACAAATAATGATAAGTAATAGACTACTACAGACAATGATAAGATATAGACTACTACAGATAATGATAAGTAATAGACCACTACAAATAATGATAAGTAATAGACTACTACAGACAATGATAAGATATAGACTACTGCAGATAATGATAAGTAATAGACCACTACAGATAATGATAAGTAATAGACAACTACAGATAAATATAAGTAATAGACTACTACAGACAATGATAAGTAATAGACTACTACAGACAATGATAAGATATAGACTACTACAGATAATGATAAGTAATAGACTACTACAGATAATGATAAGTAATAGACTACTACAGACAATGATAAGTAATAGACTACTACAGATAATGATAAGTAATAGACTACTACAGATAATGATAAGTAATAGACTACTACAGATAATGATAAGTAATAGACTACTACAGATAATGATAAGTAATAGACTACTACAGATAATGATAAGTAATAGACTACTACAGATAATGATAAGTAATAGACTACTACAGATAATGATAAGTAATAGACTACTACAGATAATGATAAGTAATAGACTACTACAGATAATGATAAGTAATAGACTACTACAGATAATGATAAGTAATAGACTACTACAGATAATGATAAGTAATAGACTACTACAGATAATGATAAGTAATAGACTACTACAGATAATGATAAGTAATAGACTACTACAGATAATGATAAGTAATAGACTACTACAGATAATGATAAGTAATAGACTACTACAGATAATGATAAGTAATAGACTACTACAGATAATGATAAGTAATAGACTACTACAGATAATGATAAGTAATAGACTACTACAGATAATGATAAGTAATAGACTACTACAGATAATGATAAGTAATAGACTACTACAGATAATGATAAGTAATAGACTACTACAGATAATGATAAGTAATAGACTACTACAGATAATGATAAGTAATAGACTACTACAGATAATGATAAGTAATAGACTACTACAGATAATGATAAGTATTAAACTACTACAGATAATGATCACTTATAGACTACTAAAGATAATGATCACTGATAGACAACTACATAATGATCACTAATAGACTAGTACAAAAGGATCACTTATAGACTACTACAGATAATGATAAGTAATAGACTACTACAGATAATGATCACTAATAGACTACTAAAGATAATGATCACTGATAGACTACTACAAAATGATCACTTATAGACTACTGCATAAGGATCACTTATAGACTACTACATAATGATCACTTATATACTACTACATAATGATCACTTATAGACTACTGCATAAGGATCACTTATAGACTACTACATAATGATCACTTATACACTACTACATAATGATCACTTATAGACTACTTCATAAGGATCACTTATAGACTACTACATAAGGATCACTTATAGACTACTACAGTATACATTGCAGTTAGATACACATAGTGATGTACAGTTTAGTTAGGTACACATAGTGATGTTCAGTTTAGTTAACTACACATAGTGATGTACAGTGTAGTCAGGTACACATAGTGATGTACAGTTTAGTTAGGTACACATCGTGATGTAATGTTTAGTTAACTACACACAGTGATGTACAGTGTAGTCAGGTACACATCGTGATGTCATGTTTAGTTAACTACACACAGTGATGTACAGTTTAGTTAGGTACTCATAGTGTTGTACAGTTTAGTTAGGTACACATAGTGATGTACAGTTAAGTTAGGTACAGATAGTGATGTACAGTTAAGTTAACTACACATAGTGATGTACAGTTTAGTTAGGAACACATAGTGATGTACAGTTAAGCTAGGTACACATTGTGATGTACGGTTTAGTTAGGTACACATAGTAATGTACAGTTTAGTTAAGTACACATAGTGATGTACAGTCAAGTTAGGTACACATTGTGATTTACAGTTTAGTTAGGTATACATAGTGATGTACAGTTAAGGTAGGTACACATTGTGATGTACGGTTTAGTTAGGTACACATAGTTATGTACAGTTAAGTTAGGTACAAATTGTGATGTACAGTGTAGTTAGGTTCACATAGTAATGTACAGTTTAGTTAACTACACATAGTGCAGTGTAGTCAGGTACACATAGTGATGTACATTTAAGTTAGGTACACATTGTGATGCACAGTTTAGTTAGGTACACATCGTGATGTAATGTGTAGTTAACTACACACAGTGATATACAGTTTAGTTAGGTACACATTGTGATGCACAGTTTAGTTAGGTACACATTGTGATGGTCAGTTTAGTTAGGTACACACAGTGATGTACAGTGTAGTTAACTACACACAGTGATGTACAGTTAAGTTAGGGACACATTGTGATGTACAGTTTAGTTAGGAACACATAGTGATGTACAGTTAAGCTAGGTACACATTGTGATGTACATTTTAGTTAGGTACACATAGTGATGTGCAGTTAAGTTAGGTACACATTGTGATTTACAGTTTAGTTAGGTACACGTAGTGATGTACAGTTAAGTTAACTACACATAGTGATGCACAGTGTAGTTAGGTACACATAGGGATGTACAGTGTAGTTAACTACACAGAGTGATGTACAGTGTAGTTAGTTACACATAGTAATGTACAGTTTAGTTAAGTACACATAGTGATGTACAGTCAAGTTAGGTACACATTGTGATTTACAGTTTAGTTAGGTACACGTAGTGATGTACAGTTAAGTTAGGTACAGATAGTGATGTACAGTTAAGTTAGGAACACATTGTGATGTACAGTTTAGTTGGGTACACATAGTGATGTACAGATTAGCTAGGTACACATAGTGATGTAAAGTGTAGTTAGGTACACATAGGGATGTACAGTGTAGTTAACTACACACAGTGATTTACAGTTTAGTTAGGTACACGTAGTGATGTACAGTTAAGTTAACTACACATAGTGATGTACAGTTTAGTTAGGAACACATAGTGATGTACAGTTAAGCTAGGTACACATAGTGATGTACAGGGTAGTTAGGTACACATAGTGATGTGTAGTTTAGTTAACTACACACAGTGATGTACAGTTTAGTTAGATACACATCGTGATGTAATTTGTAGTTAACTACTCACAGTGATGTACAGTTTAGTTAGATACACATCGTGATGTAATTTGTAGTTAACTACTCACAGTGATGTACAGTTTAGTTAGGAACACATAGTGATGTACAGTTAAGGTAGGTACACATTGTGATGTACGGTTTAGTTAGGTACACATAGTGATGTACAGTTAAGTTAGGTACACATTGTGATGTACAGTTTAGTTAGGTACACATAGTGATGTAATGTGTAGTTAGGTACACATAGTGATGTACAATTTATTTAGGTACACATAGTGATGTACAGTTTAGTTAGGTACACACAGTGATGTACAGTGTAGTTAGGTACACACAGTGTTGTACCTAATCACGAACATGTCGCAGCCTCCCAAAACACACACGCATACACTACACGCGTGCATCTTGCACATATGGGAGGCCATCCTTAAATGACCATAGCTGTTGATAGGACGTTAAACAATGCTAAACCAAAACCAAATAAACACATTTAGTCAGCACATCTGTCTGTATGTTTATTTGTTCTCTGTTGTGATATCTCATGATCCCCTGACCATGTTAGGTTCATATGTACACCATATTATAGTAATATTGAATTGTACGCCAGGTGATTTGATTTTTGTGGTCAGTGGTAAAGGGACAAAGGTCAGGGTCCAATATCACACTTACCACTTTTTAAGTAAAAAGCTTGTGCACAAAACCGTTTTCACAGCAAAACCCTGAAGAGATTTAGTTTTTATTAGGTCACCTGAGACAAAGTCTCAAGTGACCTATTGCGATCGCCTTTTGTCCGTCGTCGTCCGTCGTCCGTCGTGCGTCCGTAAACAATTTACATTTTCGACTTCTTCTCCAAAACCCCTGAACCAATTTCAATGAAATTTTGCAGGGACCTTCCATGGACAAAGGTCAACAAAAATAGT